AGACAGAACAAAGACAAAGACAAATACTAACTTGAAAATCGCAACGAGAGAATAGCAACGCGAAATGAAAATCGCAACGACAGAATCGTAACGCGAAATGAAATCTAAGTGAAATGGTTAATCTATTATTGAAATGACCAGTAAACTTATCATCAGTTTCAATATGAAAAACCTACAATAATGCAAACATTTCAAAATAAAAATAATTAAAAAAACTAACCCTCGGAGGTTGATTTTCCATTTCTGAATATTGTGAGGGATTTCTGACCGTGAATGGTTGTGAGGGATTTCGCCGGAGATGGGGACGGAAATCTTCGGAGATGGGGACGGATTTCTTCGCCGTAGAGAGTGAGAGATGGAGATGGGACTGAGTTGTGATTTTAGGTTTTAGGTTATGAGTTGCGATTACGGGATTTTGTCTTAATATTCGTTTTTGTAATTTGAAAATAAAATACGCGTAGCGATTATAATGGCGCTTTAAATATCGCGTTGCGATTTACGGATACGCGTTGCGATTTTATGTATTATCGTTGCGATTTACGGATACGCGTTGCGATATACGGATATATGTTGCGATTTACGGATACACGTTGCGATTTATGTGTTCGCGTTGCGATTTTCATATTCGCGTTGCGATTTTGGAAAATCGCAATGCGAATTTGTACTATCGCATTGCGATTTTCAAGAATCGCGTTGCGATTTTGGAAACTGATTTGCGATTCTGGGGATCGCGTTGCGATTTTTATTTCGCGTTGCGATTTTGTTGGTCATTTTGGCAAATCCAAAAAAAGTTGGTTAAAATCGTATATTATAACTTTTTTTTGGTCACTGAGGCGATTTTCTCTTTTTAAAATTATTATTAAATCAATTATTCAACTGAAAATTGAAGTCCAATTCTTGTAACAAAATCAAATTCAGATGCCATAAATATAGGTAAATTTCTTGCTTAGTATTAAAATTATCAATTTTGGTCTGTTTTAGTATTTAAACTTTTAAATTTTTTTTCAAAATCATACTAAAGTTTAGTTTTTGTTTCATTTTAGTACCCGCCGTTAAAAACTTTAGTTTTTGTTTCATTTGGGTACCCCGTTCAAAATTTAACGTTAAGTTTTGAAAAAGATTCAAAGTTTAAGTATTAAAACGTGCCAAAATTGATAATCTAAGTACTAAACAAGTTAAACTTTTAACGGCGTGGTACTATAATGAAATAAAAACTAAACGTTTGGTATGATTTTTAAAAAAATGAAAGTTTAAGTACTAAAACTGACTAAAACTGATAATTTAAATACACAACACAAAACATGCGCCAGGAATTTACACCAACGGGAAGTATATAAATAAATAAAAAAACACATGTACACGCCATATATTGCACTCATATAACGTATATACCACTCCCTGTAGTAATTTTATAAAACACTTGGACACTAAATGATAAGAAAAACGAGAAAGATTACCAGCACCAACACTAGAATTCCCAGCACCCACCAGCACTGCCAAAAAAGAAAAGAAAGATATATCAACATGAAAATGCATATCAAAGTTAGGGATATACGAGGGATAATGGTTCATCAGACCACATTAATCTTGTAAATATTTCAAACAGATTAAAATATGTTGTCACGACCGAACCCGAACTGCATCGTGCAGACCCCATGAGCATAATCGGGTATTGTCGACAATACCAGATTGGGCTCACGGGGTGATAGGTCATGACACCTGCATCCTTCTCATCTAGAGAGAACTAAGGAGCATATCATTCCTATTCCTTGCGCATGGGCTAAAGCTGATGGTTCTAAAAATGAAGTACATTGCGTACCAGGATATTGCAGGGCTTAAGTTATGAGTTAATCTGTTATTGCAGTTAACAACAGCAAGTTTATGAACTCGCCAGCACTATCTCATTAGCCAGTCTCTTTACATGCAGAAATTTCAAGTCTTCAACGAAAGCAATTCATTGGTTATTCAAGTTTTTTGTTTTTACAAATTCATTCTCTATCGTCAAGCAAGCATTCTGTGAATGGATCCGAAAGTCGAAACAATCTTTGCACATTTGCATTTCCTCAGCAAAATTTCAACTACAAATATCATGCATGTCATGTCAAATAAAATTCTAGAAATCAACAGTTTAAAGCATACCCATGAGGTTCGAGATTTCACACTTTTGGAACCCTTGGCCAGCTGAACTCTACCCTGGGTTGTTGCAGCGGAGGAAGCATCAATGTTTGATGAAATGTCATCTGTTTATGATGGAACAAACCGTCAGATAAATAGATAAAATGTAAGCAGGTAGCAATGTTTTGGCATGCAAACCAAGATATTAACTCTTAAATCGCACATAGTCGCAATTCTATTGTACTCTCTTTTCCAGCATAGTGAAATTTCACGTAAATATGTGTGTTCTTTTCGTTTCTTTTAACTTTGCGGTTGTTTCTATTGCCATTATCGACATCTAGTATTACGATATGCATAAATGAATAATGTATCTTAGGGGGTATTTGGCATCTTACCAATGACCACACCCTGGTCGTGGACAAGAACGGCAAGGTCCTTAAATATATCATTTACTTGTCCTATTTGCTCCTCTATTTCTCTGATTCCCTGTTCTCTTTCATCAGTTATAGCTTCGTTGAACCCAATTTCATTATCCAGCAGAAGCACCTCTTGAATGCACATTTTCTTGGATGAACATGGATCACAAAGAAAAGGCTCTTACAACTCATTGCAACAAGAACAACATAACGATGGCTATATTGTATGAAACGACTTTGACCAAAAAGACAGGCATGTTCATAGGAGTAAAAAAATGTTCAAGATCAATGGACTACTAAGGAAAGCGACATCAGAATTCATAACTAATGTTTATATCAAGAGCATTCATTTCAACGATGCTTGTCATCATCGTCGACTGGTAAGGTACTATGACTTCATAGGATTACATCATGCTGGTGTAGGCGCCCTCGTAGCCTAAAGAGAACAATATCGATATTGTGCTCATGACACCAGCACAAAATGGCGTATGAAATTAGAGTACATTGCTGATCGGCAGGTAGTGCAAATGCTACTAAAGTCATTGATATGCATGCATTGATATGCATGTATTGATATGCATGCATGACAAGCGATGAAAACAAATAAGTAAAAGGAGTTGGGGGAGAAAGGAAAGGATGAACTGAACTCACCTTCTCTGTTCCATAAGAAAATGTTGTTGTTGCTCTTGAGAATCATTGAACCCAGAGCTGCTTTTTACAAAGCATCAAATCAATATAAGGCCTCAAATTATAACAATAAATGATGCAAAACGTAAAAGACTGATACGAAGGAGGCAAGGAAGGTGGGGCAGCGGCAGGAGAGTAAGTAGACTCGCGTTCAGAGGCCAGCTGCTGAACTTTCTGGAACTCTTGTAGTGTGGTCTGAAAATCTCTGGTCAGCTTTGCATCTTCTACCTTTTTACTTGGCTGGAAGTCGAAATTCGATTATGAATTGACCATATAAACTGGATATACTCAAAGGAAAGAAAAACAAAATTAGAGATGAAGAAAAGATACATTGACAGTAGGGTCATGATCGGATTCAGTCAAGGTCTTGAGCTTAGCGAAGGTTTCCTTCACTAGTTGCAGAATCCTTTGCCTTGTGTTGTGCCTGTCGATCAGAAATTTTCAACTTCGTGAGAAGAAAAAGAACAAGAAGGATATGCATCTTTGATGTTTTAATTGCAAGACATTAGAGAAAAAAGAGTACAGTTTTAGGCGGTGATCGGGAGTGTCCTTGGCGGTGCCAATGGCGTCCACGAGGCGACGGAAAGCGGCGACGGCCGTGTTGATCTGGAAGATCCCGGCTGCCACAGCTTGTGAGGGGCTCTTGGACGCCAATGAGGAGCGAACACCACCAGTTGGAACGTCTTGAAAGCTCATTTTCGGCTTTCCTTTGAGGTTTCCGCTTCCAAAAAAAATGGGGGAAAACACTATTTGGCTAATTAATAAACCCTACAATGAGAATTGATACAGCTTCATAAACGCTGATCTCAGAAGATAGGTAGCAGGCTAAAGGCTAACCCTTTCCAGTTGTAACTGTGATTAGTTATCAGTTCAGCTCATCTTCAATCACAGTGGCACCAAATCACCGACCACTCAACGTATCTGGGGTATTTCCTCCCATCGGATTCAAGGTTTAAAACAGAATAAACTAGAAAACTCACCAATCAAAAATGGAACACTTGGAGGTGCTGTTGCTTTTCATGCCTTATACTCTTACATCCTGATGTGAGTTAAATACTGGGCCAAGTGGCATACGATCTGTTTCCCCCCCCCCTAACCGAACCAAAAAAAAATATTAATTAGTTCAATAGGATGTATAAAAATTTATATTGAAAACTAATTTATTTACTACAGTGATTTAAAATTTATCGGTAATAATTTTAATAATTTTTTATTTAAAATTTTATTTCGATGTGATAAAATTTAATAAAAAAATATATTTTATTAAAATTCATCACATCTACGAAATGAGTTTAAATAAAAAATATTATTTGAATAAATTTATCACTTCAACCTGACAAAACTGTAACAAACAACATATATCTCAAAATAAATTTTCTTATGCCTTATTGGGCTAATTATCAAAACTATTTTTCTTATTGAAAAAAAACCTATGATATGTTCTTCCCGGATAAGCGAAATCATTGAGAATTTAATTGTATCGATGGTCTTTAAATTATAACATTCATTTTAAATTAATCTTTAAATTTGAATATTTAAATTACATACTTAAATTATGTCTCCCATTTCAAATTAATTCCTTAAATTTTGAATATTTTAATTTCATCCTCAAACAATAAAATTCATTCTACATCAATCCTCAAACATTTAAAATTTCAGTTTCATCCCAAACATTTAAACATTTAAATATTCAATCAATGAATATTCGAATAATTAACCGAGTACAATGTGCCTTAATTTTTCTTTATAGCTCAACATGTAGCCATATAGATTCTTCTCCGATGACTGATTAACTAGCGGACTACACATAATATATCATTCCAACTTCAACGAGACTGATGTGAGGAATGTTCAGTTCTACCGCAGGCCCCCTGCAGTTCGTCCGGAGGAACGCATACGCAACATCGATCACGAACTTTTTTAAAACCGATGAACTTCGCCTGGCCTTTACACAGGAGTGCCCCATTATATATGCAAACCCTGCTTCCTGTGCCTCGATCAAGTCCATCAGCTCTTCTCGGACAGCAGGGTCCATTTTCTGCTTTGCCGGTACTTGAAATCTCAATTGTCGCTGCCTAAACGGAAGATTCTCTTCGTCATACACGGACTCCAAGCTATGTAGGATTGAGGATTCACTGCTTTGGATGGTGCTACTATCAATGATATCGTCTTCCTCGGTGATGATTATACTCCGGATGCTGGTGGAACTCGTAACAACCATCCTCCCATCATGGTAGTGCGGGTCTTCAGCTTCCAGCTTGATGAACTCTGCTATTCTTTGTATGAGCTGGTTCTCAAAATCACCGTTGTCTCGTTGGATATCTTTGTACCCGTACCTAAGGATACACCGATACATTCGATATGGCCTCGGGCAAACCCGGCCGATGATGAAGCGTTCGTGTGATGGTACAAATGGGACTGGAACTGATTTGACACAAACAAAAACCAACACCTTATGGAATGCAGGTAGGTTTGTGACGAAATGGGAGAAGATTGCAGGGACTCCTGTTACCAATTCGGAGTATATGAGGCCTACACCGGGCACACGGGCAATGCCGAGGCTAGGACCTAAGCCGAGCAACCATTTCAACGATACTTTGTTGTGCATGTCGAAGTCATACTTCTTGCCCGTCCCGTAATGCCAAATGTACATGACCATCATGAAGATGAACGACAGCACCAGGGGCACCCATCCTCCTTGTTGCACTTTCATCAGCGCAGCCGACAAGTAGACCCCTTCGATAAACCCGAAGAACAGAAAGAACATTCCAGCAAGCCAAATGCTTTTATGCCAAACAAAGGCTATCACAAGCGACATAAGAAATGTTGTGATGAACATCAACGTAACGGTTGTGAGTCCTGAAAATCGAAACCAAACATCATCACCAAAGACAGAGACAGGACAGTTGATGCAACGTAGTAAGGGACCATCATCACCAAGGAAGCGTTTATGAGAGAATGAATTACCATAAGCATTTCCGATTGAAGTTGTATCGTGAAATCCAATAGTGATCAAAAGAGCAAGGACCAAGAGTATCCAGTTGATTTCCGGGATGTAGATCTGGCCATATATGTGCTTCGAGGTGTGAACGATTTTGACTCGAGGAAAGCAGCCGAGGGCATGGCATTGTTTGATTACAGAGAAAGTGGCAGTTATGATAGACTGGCTTCCAACAACAGCTGCAAGGGTGGAAACTACATAGATAGGCCAATAAACGGAATCTGCAATGGTAAAACTAAAGATTTACACAAGCCTAAATGTTGTAACAATGTTTAGAAGCTATAGAGATGGTCTCAGATTGCACTAACCCGGAACAGATCTGAAGAAACAGTTGGGAATCGCATCGAGGTGTCTCGACAAGAACGCAGCCTGACCCATGTATTGTACAACCAAAGAGGGGTATATTGCAAATACAAATGCAATCTGCACAACCAGTAATATTATCAGTTTGCTATACATCATTCAAAACACAAGTTCATAGCTTCAAGAATGAAATACACACACACACACTCACCCTAATTGATATGGCAGTGAAATGACCAAGGTCTGCATACATATATTCGGTACCTGGTGAGACCGAAAATGTACACATGATCGATACATCGAAATCGGCAAGCATTATTATTGAAAAGTTAATTGAAATGAAAGTCAAGCAATAAACAGAATCAATATCGATATTCAACCTACCGGTTATCGATAGAAGGATCCCTCCAAGGGAAATACAGCCATCTTTACCAGTCTCTTTAAAGAACTTGATAATATAAAACGGAGAAATTGCTTTAAGAATATGTGGATTCCAATGTATTATGTTGTACAATCCAACACAAAAGATTAATATCAGCCACAATAGTACAATTGGTGCAAACATAAACGATACCCTGTGCGTGCCAATATGCTGCAGAGCGAATAGGCTCACCAATATGGCACAATCAAGAAAGAGGAGTACTCCTAGGATCAAAATAAAGCAGAAACTATTAAGTCCTACAGAAACCAGAAAATGAAGATAGAAAAGAACACAAAATAAGAGAGACAAATTACCTTTAGATAGTTTCTGTCCGGAGTTTAGTAGCCCCGGCATCGATGATAGAACTACGAAATTAAAAATATTTAACCCCCTTAACCATAGCAACAAAAACCAGATGGGAGATTTGACTGATATGATGAACTATACATTCTTAACATCTACCTGACATTGCTGCAGTGAGCACACCATCACCAATGACCATAGAAGCAGCAAAGAGTACCACGATAAGAAGTCCCATCCTCGCCGTTTTATTCTTCTCTAGAAACCGCTTTAAGAAGGAGGCATTCGACTGCGTCGAGGGCCCGTATTTATAGGCCGAGATCTCTTCATCGGCTGCATGTTGATTGGGTAGCAAGCTAAACTTTGCGTGCCTACAAAGCAGAGAGTAAAGAGCAAAAGTGCCACCTGACAAGAACTCGTTTCTATCAGCCTGCAAATGGTTAGCCAAAGGGGTATATGTCTACATTATGAAATTTCATTGATTCACCTCACCTTCACCATTATCATCAACATACAGCAAGATGAACACATATTTACAAAGGGGTATCAATGTAAGGGTCCAAAAGATCAAGGATAATGCTCCAAGTATAGCGTCTTCATTCTGATGATTCTGCAACTTCCCAATGAAAGTGCTCGAGTACACGTAAAGAGGTGACGTGCTAAAGTCTCCATACACCACCCCCAAGCTCTGGTATGCTAATATTAGGTTTCTGGAGAGATTGACCCACGAAAGCTGCAAAAGTGACAGTGTCAAGCAAGTATACTAATACAATGGTTAATGCCAAAACATCCAGAAAACTAGAGTACGGCCAATACAGAAAATAGTTTACAATTATAACAAAGTATTTGTGAATAATAAACAACATTAATAATGTACTATCTATAAACATGATTAATAATAAAATGATGGCATGACTTAGAATCTTGTAAGTTTAGAATCTTGTAAGTTGTAACTTTTGCTTCTGAAGTGTAAGTTGTGGAACGACTTCTAGTAAGTTATTTGCCCCTTCCTATTATCTCTCAGATTATGATGTGCATTTAAAGCAAAAAAAAAAAGTGAGTTATAAAAGACTGTGATCTATAGATTGTATCTATGTTCACTGAATTAAAGAACGGATCAAAATAAAGAAGGAATCGGTTCCTTTACAGTTGAATTAGTAGGAACGAGCTAGAAAAAAAAATTATATTCTAGAGCTTAAGAAACACAAGCAGATTACCAAATTGAAAAATATAATAAAATCAGATCAAACAAAAGTATTCAAAATTAAATGAAATCTAACCGCAAAAAGATGTTTCGGAGGAGCCGAGTCAGAATCTGGATCCATCGGAAAGCGGACTCAGAGTTCGAAGAGATTGGATTCTACAAATCGTCATTTTTCATATTCTTTCCCTATTTGATTTGATTTGATTGTTTTGTTTGTGTATTTAGAAGAAATTTAAAAAACAGTTATTGTAGTGGGAATGAAATGGATTGGTTCCAACACAAACACTCTCGAATTTTGGTTTATTAATTTTCTTTTCTTTTTCCGAAACAAACTTGATCTGATTTAACCTATAATCAAACCGAGTTAAGTAGTACCGAAGATGCTGAAGAGAGTTTCAACTTTCAAAACCTTCGACTCTGATTATTGTTTCAGTGCTTTCCCAGTCTCCTTCCCCAACGGCAACGGGCCGATGAATTTGGAATACTACTTTGAATAACAAAATCAATAATACTATTAGCTATACATAACAATTGATTTTATAATAATTATTTACAGTAGATTTATGGTTGAACTCCGCACCTTTGACTATCATTCATGTCGTCTACAAAAGCTGACGGCAGTAATCGTAGTGATAACGAAATAAAATTTTAGTGATTATTCCATTGGCATCAATAAATCCTATTACCTTACCAAAAAAAGAAATAAAATTTTAGTGATTATATTACAAATTTTAGAAGTTAAGTGACCAAATCACAAGCACTTTAAAAGTTTAGGAACCATTTATGTATTTCACCCTTATTAATATCATGACATGATATGATGATGGTAATTGTTATTAACCATTTTCTTAAAACAAAAGAAGCCTTTATTATTCCTTTTAAGGGGAAAAAATCAATAAATTAACTATGCATCTCAAATATAGTCTGTACAGAAGTGATATTTATCTGAAGGAAAAAGAAATGGTAAAAAAAATTTACGGAGAATGTACAACATGATCTGGTAGACTGGTACAAGCAGATGAGAAAAGTTACTCGTTAGGGCGTTGGATCTCACCCATCAATATGCGGTTGCTTGTAACCTTGAAACCGAGCAAGGCCGGATCGATCTGTTTTCCCTTCTTCCCTTTTTTCTTGCTAGATCGGGGAACTTGTGAGGCAGGCGCATCAGATGATGGCTCAAAAGCAGAGCCGTACACTGCTGCTTTGATTCCGTGAAGATGAGCCGGCTGCTTGAGAATATCTATGAATGATGATGCCTCAGACACTGCAGCATCATTGGAAGATGAGGTCATTCTCATACCTGCATCGTTGCCCGATGCCCGAGTTTTTGTGTTCCTCTTTGCACCTGCATACATCAACATGCCTTCCTGTCTTCCTTCTACACAATATCGAATCGAACACATGATTTTGTAATCAATATACATACAAGTGAAGGACGAACATGTATTTATTTTATGATTCGTCTTTTCTACAAATAATCAAAAAGAATATATCATACCAGAAGTTGCAAGGCTTTTCTGCTTCATAAGCACTGTGTTTTGTTCGGAAAAAACATTCTGGGTTGAAGAAACGTGTGAAGTTTTATCACTAAAAGAACCATGTCGGACATGGGTTTGACCTTGTAGATCATCGTAGTTCAAAGATGTCTCTACTTGCTCTAAGTCCTCAGACCCTGACACAGAACCGCTCCTAGAAATCATGCCTTTCAATCCACTTATCTTCTCCTTGCCCTCCAGTTCAACTAATTCTTTGTCCACTGTGGATTTTGCCATCAGCCTAGCATCTGCATAACTACTAGAAAAGGGATCCTCAGAGTCCAACAAAAACGACTGTTCTTCTGTAAATGAGACAGAATTTTGAGGGCCTTCTGATAAAGAAACGTTCTCATGAACTTCCTGATCTTTGAAATGATTAAAAGGTGGATTCGAAGACGATGTAGAATATTGATAATCTACTTCTGATGACTGTCCATATTGAATACCAAGTTTTTGGTGAAGAAGGTCCATTAAAGCTTTCTTAGAGTTTTCATGAATCCCTCCAGTTGGTGTCCAAGTGTTTGAATCAACTTCAGACTCCCTTCTTTGCAGATCTGCTTCAAGACTTAATTGTTGCATTTGATTTTCCGCCCAACTATTTTCTAGCTGCCCATTTTGCCTAGACTGGTAGCTCTCTATTAAATCTGGATGAGAAGTGTACACATCACCCGAAACTTGCCGGTCAAGAGAGTGATTACCAGAAGAAAATGGACCTAGTTGGTTGTTATAGTGCATATAGAAATGCTCAGATAGATCTAGAGTATTTACATTGTCTACTTTCATCCCAGGAGCAGCTGCAGAAAGAGACCTGGCAAATTCTGTAGCACTGGGGTCAAAAGCCCCTCGCTGCTGTTGCTCCTGCAAAGCACGATTCATTTGAAGATTGCTGAATTGCTCTTCAGAAGATGAAAACCTCTTTTGGTGAGGATCTGAACCATTCAGCCCCGCTGTTTGAGCCTGGGGATGAATGCCAGGATTCCTGACAAACTGACCAACTTCATCTACAGACCAAGAACCAGCATGTTGTCTATCCCCCTCCATACTTAATTGTTGGTTCAGTGCCCTAGATAATTGCTCAGCTTGAAACTGATCACGTTGAAGACGAAGCTGATGCTCTGAAGGAATCATATTGCCATACTTCGCTTGTAACATGAAATCCAAAATATCAGCCTGCTGCCCTAGAACTGCACTCTGGTTTATCTTTGCTTGGATAATCTGCTCCGGTGATAGATCCAAGTGCATTGAAGCATGAGAATTCTGCTGCAATCCATCCAGAAGATGCTTTTTTAACTGAATCTGATCAAGCAAGTTGTCTCTAGCAACATCAAATGTGTGCTGGCCATAAACAGGATCAGAAACTTGATGCTTCAGCAATTGATTAAGTAGCAACTCCCGAACTTGAGATGGCTGCTGATGTAGATGTTGCTGTTGCAATTGCTGCAACAAATGAATTTGATGGTTATGATGCTGCTGCTCTCGCATACGTTTCAGCTGTTCCAGCTGCTGCTGCTCTCGCATACGTTCCAGCTGCTGCTGCTCCCGCATACGTTCCAGCTGTTCCAGCTGCTGCTGCTCCCATATATGTTCCAGCTGCTGCTGCCGCTGAAGCTCCAACTGCTGCTGCCGCCGCTGCTGAAGTTCCAACAGCCGCTGCTGTTGCTGAAGTTTCAACTGCCGCTTCTGTTGCTGAAGTTCCAACTGCCGCTGCTGTTCAAACTGAAGTTCCAAAAGATGTTCCATATGCGGAGCTGAAAGATGGATTGACTGCTGATGATTGAGATTCTTGCTTTGCAAACTATAAATTTGCTCGGAACCAAATCCAGTTGATTGTGATTCACTGGGCAACTTTTGTGACATTAAGTGCTGTACCAGGTCCAAACCATTGTGTTCTTGTTCCCTGTGAGATAAGGGGCTGCCTAGATGAATGTTAGGATTAAACACAGAATTTCTTCTGTAATCATCAGACCGAGCATCTGGAAGTAACTCGTCACCACGATGAGAAGGCACAATGGTTTTTGAAAATTCATTTGAAATAGGCAGATGGCTTGCAGGATTGCTACTAAAAGGATCTTGAATTTCACCAGAAACTTTAAAAGGCTCCGCACCAGCACTTCCAGGCCTTCTGGGAAAAATAATTTCTGCATCACACAAGAGAAAAGCAGGAATCATTATCAAACACAATAACAAAATCAACAACAGTAGCTCCAACTAATTAAACTTACCATCTGCACCAGCATCAGCAAATTTGTGGAGCTTTTGATCTTCAGAAAACTGATGCTCGGAATGATAACTTTGAGAAGGCACTCTTAACTGAAAATTAGTACCAGAAGTCTCAAAAGCAGACAAAAACTGCTGATGCTCACGTCCAATGGCAGACCCCTTCAACTCTGGAGCAGAAGCGGAAGATATGGTCTCTTCCAAGCTCCCTTCAAACTGATCAGGTATTTGCATTCTTGTAACTGCACCAACACCGGAGGCTGAACCAGAATTCATCCTTAAGTGAGGCATCAATTCACCAAGTCCTTGGAAAGGCAATCCATCAGGAGCATTTGCCAATCGAACAGGTAAGTCTGTACCAAAATAACCTTGCTCAAACCATGAAATTATGTCAATTCCCAGATATGGTCCCTGAACTACCCCTTGAGGATCAAGATAGCACAAGCTCAATTCCTCTGGAGGGGTAATACTTTCCAGTGAATGTGACTCATTATTTCCCTCAAGATTTATCTGGTTATAACCAAGAGTAGGCTGCAGTGACTGAAAACCAAATAGAGAGCTTGAGCCATCAGGAAGATCACTACCCACTCCAAATTGCCAGGATGATTCTTTGTCCTTCATGTTGGAGTCCTTTTCCATTTTCCTATCAGCTACTGCTTGATTATCAAAAGATTTTAATCCATCCATGTAATTTGCAGAACCATCAATCTCCCTATCTGACCCCAAAGCATTGGTTTCATCAATATCAGATGGTGTCACATATACATATCTTTGTCCACCTTCTTTTGAACTATACATTTCTGTAATAACAATCAAAATAAATCATGAATATTATCCTTAATGGACTACTGTAGGCAAACAAATAAAACGGAAAGTTTCCTACCCTTAATCATAATCATATGCAATTCTCACACACAAAATGTTAAATGTCTCACCTTGATAATTTTTGTTTACAGAAGCCTTCTCACCAGATTGAACACCATCCTCACTGTTAACCGAGAAACATTGTTTTTCTTCACCTGAAATCACATCCATAAGACCCGGATTAGGATAGGAACATAACTTAGCTTCTTAAATATATCTAATCATTTATTAGGTAAGTTTGAACATAAATGAAACTCTAGCAGCATTTCATTTGATCCCTACTTGTGTCCCTAAATGAGTTGCAGATCTCGTCACTGTTTGTAGTTTTTACATTCCATATATCTCCAAGGACAGCCTGCAAGAATCATGCAAGCAAAATTGAGACAATGGGCAGATTTTTCTTCTATAAATCAGATTAGAAGTTTCATACCTCTTCCTCGGCATCAGGAGGAACAAATGCCAAAGGCTCAACGATTTCTTTGTGTGTTATTGTTGATGAATGATCAGTCTCATCAGGTAGAACGTCAAAATTCAGAGAAGTCTTTTGCATGCGGTAAATGTCAAGGAGTTTTCCTCTTGGGTAGCAATATGCATTGATGGTCTTGTTTTTATCCCCGACACGAGCACCAATAACAGAAACAGAAAGAGGCTTCCCTCGTCCTACTGTAAAACCCACATTTGATTTCTCCACTCGTCCCCTCCCCAAGCTGAATCCTGGAGCACTGCGGAAAGAAGTGGACCCGCCTGCATGAACTTCCAAACGATGACGTGGTCTCCATTTATCACGAGAATCAATCTCGCGTTCAGAAGCTAAGCGCCCCCCAATGGCAAGTGCTTGTTTCTCAGTAGGGGCATCTTCCATCTTAGAATCTGTCCTCTTATCATTTTGAGAATCCTTCTCTTTTTCTTCAAGACCCCATCTTGAAGACCACTTATTTTCTCTTCGAGATTCAATCCCTGAACCACGACTACTAATATCTTGCGCACCAGAAATATCAGGGCGCCGGTCTTCTTTTCTGCGATCTCTCCGGCCAAGTAAGCCTGTTTCTCTCTCCTCTTCACGCCAGTGACGCTTTTCTAGATCAGGCACGGCCCTCCTCCATTCTTTCTTGTCCTGAGAACCATCTAAACGCCAACTATCTTTCAGATTGGGATCACCAGAGGCTCCACGAGGCAACAAAATTGGCGATTTTATATCCTGTTAAGAGTAAACAAATTATACCACAAACAATACAAATCAAAACCAAATAAAATAGCCACAAGATATAAGTAAAATGTATATTTCAGATGAGCATTAAAAAATGAAAATTATACTATTTTTTATGCAATCGGATAAACTATTCACCCATACTTCCACCACACAAGAGAAGATGAAACTAGAAACCAACAAACTAGAAAGTCATATTCCAATCATTACCCTAAAAGACAACGATAAAGAGAGAGAGAAAATGTTCCATACCCCAGTCGTTCCAGCAGGTAACATCTTAGCATCAGCTACTTTAGAGTAAAGCCATTGAGGGGACAAAGGTATGCTGCTCTCCGAAGTCAGTTGATCTGGTCACAGAAAATATAATAAATTTCAGACAAATGAGCATATTAAATTTAAATCGGAATCCAAAAATGTTAAAAGTTGGGAGTATAAAAATGAGAGAGCGGAAACAGCAACAATAAAAAAGAAATGTGCTAATACCTTTGGGGGAGTGTTCAGAGCCGATTTTGGAAGATAAGAGATCATCGGGCAGATCGAGTTTTCCGTCATCCATCGGGAAAATGAAAGCTGATAGAATCTGAAAGGCGGAGATCGGAGCGGCAAAACGGCGGCGTTTAAGGTTGCGAGAAACGACAGAGCAGGGAGAAATTGGGAGGTATCCGATGGCTAAATAGGGGGAGAAATAAGGATTCGAAGAGATAATGATTATGATGAGCGCGAGAGATAGGAATGACTAGGGTTTCTATAAGTCAAGACTTGAACGAAAAATGAGTAAGTAAATAAATAAAGGCTTAATTATGAAATAATTGTTCAAGGTATATCATTTTCCTCAAATGGGTGACTAATTTTTTTCGATTCATCCAGGAATATGACGTTACATACGTTATCATTTTTAATGTTCGGGCCATAACGATCTTTAAATTACACTGTTAAGATACATATTTCATGTTTTGGTAATTTTAAAATTTTTATTTAAAATAAAAAAAAATAAATTATATATTTAAAAAACCCAAAATTTTGAAAGACATTAAAAAAACCCCTCAAAACTTCAAAAAATCTAATTTCAATACATAAACCCACACCGGACCTCATCATTTGACGTCGATCAGACCTCTACTAGAAACTTTACCCTACGACAAGCCAAATCCGATGATAACTCCGTGTCTCCGATAAGCAAAACGACAAAATTAAGACACCCAAAATCGTGTCTCCAATGAACTCAAACCCATAAATTCCTGACACTCGGGCGATCCAACAACGTATATGATGGCAAAGGAGACGGCTAGGGATGGCAACTCAACCCGAATCCGACGGGTTCCGACCCGACCCGACCCAATCGGGTCGGATTTTTTTAAAAAAATTTCAGGTTCGGGTCAGGTCGGGTTTTTTTTAAATGTACTGTTCGGGTCGGGTTTAGGGTGAAAAAAATCCGACCCGACCCGACCCGAAAAATATATATATAATTTTATCCTATATATTTAGGGATAATTACAATAATGTCCCTCCATGTATAATTTTTTTCAATTAAGTCACTGTTTTCATTGAATAATTTTTTTTTTATTATTATTTCGGGTCAGGTCGGGTCGGGTCGGATTTCTAAGTCATATATTCGGGTCGGGTCGGGTCGGGTGAAACCTTAATTTCGTCGGGTCGGGTCGGGTCACGGGTGGAAAACCCTTTCTTCTCGGGTCGGGTCGGGTGGCCCAAAAACCCGACCCGACCCGACCCATTGCCATCCCTAGAGACGGCGATCAAAAAGGGAGATGACAAGAACGACATTTACTATGTCAACCGTGGCTGATAAGAGAGGTTACTGTTAAGGTTAGGGATTTTGGATATTTAGGGATTTGAGTTTCTTTTATATTTTTTTACAAAAATATGTTTTTTTATAATTATAATATTTTTTAAATAAAATTTTTAAAATTATCATAACATGACACGTGTCACTTAACGAAAACTTTTAACGATCGTTACAATCCGAGCACTTAAAATGATAATGTTTGTAATGTTAAGCATCTAGATGAATCAAAAAAGTTTGGGCAACTATTGGAAAAAATGTATAGTTTGGACATTTATTTTCTAATTAAACCATAAATAAATAACAAGTAAGTAAATATATAAATAAAATTTGTGCGTTTAAATGAATAGAAAATGGGTAAATATAGATTGTAATTAATTGATTTTGGTTAGCTTCTTACAAAAATCGAACGACGTCAAGAGGGGGTGAATTGACTTTTTACAAATTTTGTTGAAGCAATCGTAAAATAGAAAGATTTGCACAACGATTTTAGAGTGGTTCGACTTCTACGCTAACTCTACATTCACTACCTTAGCATTCACACCAATGATTTCTCAAATCCACTAAATTTGCGAACTTTTTTAGGACAAGGTGTAAACTTACAACAATACATAAGGTTTACAACCCAAAACCTTGCTTACACTCTCTTCACAAGAGGGATTACAAATAAAACAAACAAAGAAAAAACCTCACAAGACAAATGCGTTTGCAGTAATTAAACATTTACCCAAATCAAACTTGAGCAAAATAAACAATATAGCTCACACGTGTGTTACAATGAAAAGATTGAAAATTGAAGCACAAAACACTTCTTTGATGTTGGTATATTTGATCAATATGGTTCTAGTTGACATTGGGATGCTTTGACATTCAATTTATACTAGCCACTAAGAGCTGTTGGGGATCATTATAGGCGTTATCTATAACTAAAAACAACATTTAATGCACAAGGGATCGATCTTTTGGTTAGAGGGATATATAATTTTTAAATAATTCGACCGTTGCAAGAAAGAGATCTATACTTTAAGGAAAATGATCAATCTCTTTCATCGGGAGATCAATCATTTTGGTGAAGGAATCGATATTTTCCTCGAAGGGTTGATCCTTTTGTGAAGGGATCTATCCAAAACCTACTATAATCCAAGAGATCGATCTTTTTGCTAATGGATGATCCTTTGAGCAAAAATGCTTGGAAACTCGACTTTAAAGCGTGAAAATCGAGTATGTTTTTGAAAATGTTCGACTAAGTTGAAAAACATTTAAAACATATTTTCAAGTTAATTTAGACTTTGAATTATTTTTGATAAATTTTAATGATTACGATTAAGTCCAAAATTAATTTTACAAATTATTGTTATATCAAAATCTTAATTCAATAATTTTATTTTATTGGGTAATTATTGATGTAGTAGTTATCGTGACTTTTAAATGTTTTGGCCATCAAAATTTTTTTTATAAATTTTATTTTGGACCCTTATTCCCATATGTAATGGGGTAAGGGGGAGGTAGGATAGTAGGCTGACCCCAACGCCAGGTTGAGAGCAACTTCCGTAGGAGACCTCCGAATTATGAAATGCCCACCGTGAGACTCGATCCTACGACCACAAGGTTAAGAACCTTGCGCTCTACCAATTGAGCTGGACGATCATTTTTATAAATATAAGTAGTATATGTTCAAAGACTCTCAACCATATAACCATGAAGGCTCATACTTTTGGCACACACGATGCTCGAACCTAAGATCCTAAGGGATAACAAGTCTCTTAACCACTGAGGTCACTTGATTCGTATTGGTGATCAAACATTTAAAAAAATTATAATTCTTTTAAATATTTTCATTTTAATATTGATCTTACTGTGAAAAATCTTCAATTCTTTTGCTCACCATTCATCATTAATCATCATTCACAATAAGATCAATATTAAAATGTTAACTTTTCACTTATTCTTCTTCTCTTTGAATCGACTTTCACAAGAATCACTCAAAATCAATAAAAATCTATTTAAAAGATAGTAATTTCTAAATATGTTATTCATGTTCTAAAAAAAATTAACCGTTTAAATTATCGATCGAACACCCTAAACTTCTCAAATATAAAATAACCCAAAATAATGATTTTTTTTTTTGGTTTAATTAAGTGAATTTTAAATGGACTTTGTAAAAATCTAAACCAATAATTACCAGACAATTTTATTGACATGTAGGGTAATCGCAAAAGATATAATTTTCAACTGCTAAAAGCAAGTGAAGAAATATTAATTTTGATCAAGATAATAAGATGAAATAATTTTTTTTTACTTCTACATCAAAATCAAACTGTTTAATCAATCAATTGTTAATGATGTAACAGCAAAATGGAGTAATTAAAATGCAAACAAAAATTCATTGTTAAAATTAAAACGTTGTAAAATTCACTATTAAAATCAGCACACAACCTAAACTTTAGTGACTGATAGTATAATTTACCTTTATTTTTATTTTCATAAAGCCAAATTACACAAAAAGACTTTATTTGAGCAACCTCGAAAAGTTTGATTCTAAAGAAGATCAATCTCAAATATTTAACTCTGATTTGCTCATTGCTTAACGTTTAAACCCAAACTAAGCTTAAAGAAGCCTAACAAAAACAAGCAAAAAATTACAGGGAATGTACATGGCACGGTACGTGTAGATGAGAAAAATTAGTCAATACCTTGGATCTCCCCCATCAAAATGCGGTTGCTCGTAACCTTGAAACCGAGCAAGGCAGGATCGATCTGCCATCCCTTCTTGCCTTTCTTCTTGCCACTTCGAGGAGCTTGTGAAGCAGAGTAGGATGAAGGCTCGAAAGCAGAACCGTACGCTGCTGCCTCAGTCCCGTGAAGATGAGCTGGCTTCTTAAGAATCTCGATGAATGATGATGCCTCAGACAATGCAGCATCGTTGAAAGATGAGGTCCTTCTCATAACTGCATCTATTTTGACAGATGCCTCGTCTTTTGCACTCCTTTTTGCGTGAGTTGCAAGGCTTGTAGGACTTTTCTGCTTCACGAATGACACCGTGTTTTGATCAGAGAAAATATCCAGGGACGATGAAACCTGTGAAACTTTATCACGCCCTTCCGGCATAACTGACAGTAACCTACCAATAACACAAGCACATTTAGATCGCTTTACAAACTGGGTTTAATAGTTAAAACATTGTTAACAACCAAAATGATACTGAACATGCAAAGATTTGCATTAATGCCAATTATCAAATGATGCCGATAGGAGAGAGAGAGAGAGAGATCAACATTATGAGACGTGTCGTGTCGTAGACTCGTAGCTGTGTTAAATAAAACACATGCAAATAAAAGCTCCGACATTACAAAAAAAAAATTCACCTATCCTTGGAAGGGTGTTCAACTGATTTATCCAATCCAATATCATTACTGTACATCTTGCCACTGCCACCTGCACCATTTCACTTTCAAGATTTAGTTCATACAAAGAGGATTGAATTTAATGAAAATTTCTTTCTGACAGATTACCAGTACTAAGAGAACCATGCCGGATATGGGTTCAACTTTGTAGAACACCACTGTCCAAAGTTGTCTTTACTTGCTCTAAAATATTGTCCTTAGACCCTGACACAGAACCACTTCGAGAAATCATGCCTTTCAATCCATTTTTATTCTCCTTACCCTCGAATAATTCTTTATCCACAAGATTTTTCCGTCAACCTAGCACCTGCATAACTACTAGAGAACGGATCTCCAGAGCCCAAAATCAATGAGTGTTCTGCAAATGAGCCAGAATTTTGAGGGCCTTCTGAAAATGAGCTGTTCACATGAACTTCCTGATCGGTCAAATGATTGAAAGGTAAATTCGAAGCTTGTTGCTCGGATGGTGAACTAGAATATTGCTCATCCACTTCTGATGACTGCATGGATTGAATACCAAGTTTTTGTTGAAGATCGTCCATTAAAGCTTTCTTAGAGATTTCATGAATCCTTTCAGCTGATGTCCAAGTGCTTGAATCAACTCCAGACTCCCTTCTTTGCAGACCTGCTTCAAGACTTGATTGTTGCATTTGTTTTCCAGCCCAACAATTTTCTAGTTGCCCATTTTGCCTAGACTGGTAGCTCTCAATTAAATCTGGATGAGAAGTATACACATCACCCAAAATTTGTAGGCCATTAGAGTGGTTACCGGAAGAAAATGGACCCAGTTGGTTGTTAGAGTGCATATAGAGATGGTCAGATTGATCTAGAGAAGTTACATTTTCGCCTTCCATCCCAGAAGCAAGTGCAGAAAGAGCTGGCCAGGCAAATTCTGTAGGGTTTGGCTTAAAAGTCCCTTGCTGCTGTTGCTCCTGAAAAGCAAGATTCCTTTTAAGATTGCTGAATAGCTCTTCAAAAGATGAAAGCCTCTCTTGGTGAAGATCTGAATCATTCAACCCCACTGATTGAGCCTGGAGAGGAATGCTAGGATTCCTGACAAATGGACCAACTTCATCTACAGACCAAGAACTTCATCTACAAATGGACCAACTTTTCTCCAACCTCCAGTGCATTCGAAAGGAAAGATTCTAGCTGATACAATTCTACATAGAAGCAATCATGAAATTCTTTCCCCTTCTTTTACTGAGAAAACCATTGAATGAATTAATTATAAAAAAAAGGATCTTAGATGACTCGTTAACGAAATCAGAAATCTACAATTAATAGATTAAACTACCAAAATTCAAATGAAGAAATATTTTGGAAAAATAAAATAAAATTTCACATAGACTTGCTATTGAATTGAAATGGTACACCAATACGATCTGAATACTCAAATTGTAAAGTTGACAGGATAAATAATGGGAAAAAATGAAAACTTAAATGGAAAAAATAAAAATGAAGAAATGTATTAATACCTTTGGTGGAGTGGTCAGGGCCGATTTTGGAGGGTAAGAGATCATCAGGTAGATAGAATTTTCCGTCAGCCATTAAAGATATTGAAAATTGATATAAATCTAAAGGGCGGAGATTGCAGCGGGCAATCGGCGGCGTTTAAGGTTGTGCAAGACGGCGACGCACAGAGAGACCAGACGGCTCAATAGCTCGAGTGAGAGAGAGAGAAATGTGCTGCTGTGAGTGTAAATACGTCATTGTTTGAGCAGTTTTTAAGAGTCCAAAACGTTGTCGTTTTGTTTGGTTTATATTTTATGTGAAATCTTGAGTCTGGTTATTGTTAGGTCCAATACTACAAACGAGTAGAGTTCGATTATTATATAATACTTTTGTTAAATATATAATTATAAACGACTTGATTAAATAGTATAAAATAATTATAAGATAATATTTATTTAATTTTTTTAAATTATTAATAATACATATTTATCTTGTATACATAATTATTAGAACTTAAAATTTATAAAATAAAACCATTTAAGATTCAGAGAAAATTAATAATTTGATACTTGAGAATATAAAATTATTTACAAATAATACTACATGCTTGTATTACCTTTTTTTTATTGAAATAAACCTACATTACTTTGTACGTAATTTGGAAAGATCCTCTTTTTTTTTTTTACTAAAAAAAAAGCTATGTTTTGTTACCATTGGCATCAACATCGCATCTTTTCCTTCAAAAAAAAAAACTAAATAGATTTCCTTTTTATTGTTCTCAATTACCATACGTATAAAACCTGTTGCTTTGAATCTTCGCCTTCCTGAAATTAACGCAGGAAAGGCCAAAATGCAGATCAGTCTTCAACTTTTGATTGTCGAGTGAAAGCTTTTGGTGTTGAATTTCAAAGCTTTTCCACGAAAATGCGTTTTTGCCCTTGTGTTGGTTGGAGGAAACGTGAGAAGCTAAAGACTGGTGATAAGAAAGAACCAGGCAAGAAATGCAACCCTAATGTATCTTCTAGTCAGTTTCTTTCGTGCAATTTGCTTCTCCCCCTTTTCTGAATTTTGGTTCCGTTGTTTGTCAGATATATGGTTTAATTTATCTTGTTTGGTTTACTTTTCTCAAGATTTTGTTAATAATGTGAATTTAATAGATGGGATATATGGAATTTCAAGGTATATTAGTGGGGGATGTCCATTTGTTCAATTTAGAATCTTTTGGTTTCTTAATTTCTGCTAGGGAAGTTGTTATTTTTTAATGTTATATGTGAAGAATACCCTTTTTCCCCAATATATAATGCATCAAGGAACTAACAGCTTATGCTAAATTTACATTGAATCTTTACCTTTCATCCTATTTCTACTATTGTTGAAAACATTGCTGCTAAATATCTGGTAATTCGTTTTGAACTTGTATGGAGCTTAAATCAACTACGGGATTTTTCATGGAATGGAAGCTCACTTGGAGTTGATTAGCTGAACCAAGATCTAAGGCTTAGTTGGGATGAAGTTTTGGAATTGTACAATGATAAAATACGGTTTGTTGTTGAAATCGTGTGGATATAAGTTGATTGTTCCTTGGCTTTTGCTTGTATCGAATCTTTCTTGAGGCTGTAATTTGTTAGATTTGTCGTTGCTGCCTGTCCTTTTACTTCGTTTCCCTTCCTAAATGAACCGAACTAATATTGCAGACTCCAAAAGTTAGCACTATAGGACCTGTGAGTTTATGTTTGGATCCAATATATGTTTCTTTTGCACACTTTGATAGTACCTAAACAGTTCTCAATGTTAAACAAAGTGACATGATAGAGTTTTTTTTTTTCTGGCAATCTAACTATGCCTGAAGAAAAACAGAAGTTGGACCAAAAACCAGTGCAGCCGTTGTTGAAATCGTGTGGATATAAGTTGATTGTTCCTTGGCTTTTGCTTGTATCGAATCTTTCTTGAGGCTGTAATTTGTTAGATTTGTCGTTGCTGCCTGTCCTTTTACTTCGTTTCCCTTCCTAAATGAACCGAACTAATATTGCAGACTCCAAAAGTTAGCACTATAGGACCTGTGAGTTTATGTTTGGATCCAATATATGTTTCTTTTGCACACTTTGATAGTACCTAAACAGTTCTCAATGTTAAACAAAGTGACATGATAGAGTTTTTTTTTTCTGGCAATCTAACTATGCCTGAAGAAAAACAGAAGTTGGACCAAAAACCGGTGCAGCCGTGAGACAGGAACCATCAGCTCCAAAAGAGGAGCCTATTTCTGACAATCGGGCCCAGACTTTTACATATCGACAATTGGCAAATGCGACCAAAAATTTCAGAGCAGAATCCATGGTTGGACAGGGTGGATTTGGGTCTGTTTATAAAGGAAAATTAGAAAGTGGTCAGGTACATTCTTCTAGGGCTGTTTAATTTCCTGACTGGAGCATTTTCCCCCATATTTGCTTTTTATTCGCATGCATTATGGTTGTTATCAGGTTATAGCTATTAAGAAACTTGATAAGACTGGTCTCCAAGGGGACAAGGAGTTCCTTGTGGAGTTTCTCATGCTTTCACTTTTGAATCACCCAAATCTTGTCAATTTGATTGGTTACTGTGCCGAAGGGAATCAGCGCCTTCTTGTATATGAGTACATGCGGCAGGGATCATTGGAAGATCACCTCCATTGTAATTCATGCCTTCTCCTTTAATCTTGTTAAAGATTGCATTTGTTGTAAACCATTTTGACTGGTTCTATCTAGAGTTCTAGACCTCCGGGATAGGGTCTGAAGGACACTAGCTCACTCACTATCACAGCTTTGAAACCCTTTTCATTTTCTTTCTTACATATGTCATGGTTTCAGTAAATTAAATTTATAATCAATGGTGTTCACAGATCTTGAACCTGATGAGAAACCTTTGGACTGGAACACGAGAATGAAAATAGCTTCTGGTGCAGCCCAGGGATTGGAATATCTTCACTGCGGAGCAACTCCACCTGTTATATATAGAGACTTGAAATCATCTAACATACTATTAGGTGACGGATTCAACCCAAAACTCTCTGATTTTGGGTTTGCAAAATTTGGTCCGAGTGGAGATAAATCACACGTTTCCACCAGGGTCATGGGAACCCATGGTTACTGTGCCCCTGAGTACCTCACTAGTGGAAAATTGACTACGAAGTCTGACATCTTTTGTTTTGGGGTTGTTCTATTGGAGCTGATAACAGGCCGTAAAGCTTTTGATGATACACGTGCTTGTGATGAACGACTCCTTGTTGATTGGGTAATAATACTTCACATAATGTTTATTAACGGTTTGACTGGAACTGTTTTGCTTTATGGTTGTTTCTCAAAGAAATGTCATTTTTCTTTGCATATAGCACTTTAATAACAGGCTGATATATAACTTTAACTATGACAATTCTCCAAGTATTGATCTCATATGGTGCTTACTGAAATCAGTTGCCTTTTCATTTTCTTCTTACTATATCTCGGTGATCGAACAGTAATTTATGGAAATACAATTAGTCATAAACTTGAAGCGCACGGTATTTACATTTGAATTGGCTAAGTGAGAACACATGGCATATTTGCATATTTCTGCAGTAACATTTCCTGAATGCATGGATTTCGTTTTTCTCCTTGTTAAAGATACCAACAATGTGTTTCCTGACCTACCAACTTATATATATCCATTTTTTTTTGTAGGCACGACCAATGTTTAAGGACGGAAAGAACGTTGCAAACTTAGCAGATCCACTACTGGGAGGCCACTTTTCGAAATCCGGCTTGCAGAAGGCTCTAGAGGTGGCCGTGATGTGCATCGAAGAAAATGCAAATTCGAGACCCTCTGTTAGTGAACTAGTGATAGCTCTGGATTATTTCAATTCTCATCCATATAACTCGGAAGAAGCTAAAAGGGATAGTGTGAAAGGGCCCGGAAACAGTGACTCTCCAATCGAAACAACCGGGATGTTAGGCGTGGATTACGAAAGAGAACGAGCCGTCGCTGAGGCCAAGATGTGGGGAGAGAGTTGGAGAGGGAAAAAAGGATCAGTAGGATAGAAGTGCAGAAAAATGCTATGCAGGGATGATCAAACAGGTTAAAAAAATGGTATCTAACCCTTTTAATATGAAGTACACCAGAGGTCACTGAACTATGTTCAAATAATCATTTTGGTGAATTAACTTTCAAAGTTACAAAATGCTCGTTAAATTTTATCAAACTGTTACAAAATGCTCATTAAGTTTTATCAAACTGTTACAAAACGTCCATTTTGTAAATTTTGAAAATTCAGTGACCAAAATGATCATTCGAACATGGTTCAAAATCGTACTTTACCCTTTTCATATCAGAAGCGTCTACAGTGGAACATGGAAGTAGAAAGCAAGGGGTTGGGTTTGTGTGTTGTCCTAGTCATGTAGTAAATTGTATTTATTTATTTTAATCCATATATATTATTGTACCGTAATGTTGAGTCACTGGAGAACTTCCATTACTTGACATGTTCTTATCTTGTTTTTGTAATCTTTCATGTATATACATGTGTTTGAACATGCATCTGTATATGTATTTGTGTATATATACATATTTTATATTAAATGAAACATCCAATCCATAAGCATCATTCCCTTTCCTCCTCTTCTGAGGTCTGTCTGTTGGACAATCTGATTAATCCACTTCCCAAATATACTATACACTTCTAAAAAATATATATATTCACTTTAAAGTGAGTTAAACTACTTAAATATTTTCTCATCAATAAAATATAATTGTAATAATAATAACAAAAGTCCATTAAATTAACATAAATATCAAAATTCTCTCTCAATAAAATCTAGTTATTATAATATTTGAAGACAGTATATCTGCAATTATGTTTCCAGATCCACATAAAGAGGGCCTAAAGGTAAAGAACAGGAAAAGGGGGAAGGTCAAAATGATAAAGGTCCTACCGCGATTCGAACCCAGATCGCTGGATTCAAAGTCCAGAGTGAATTACTCAAATTTAAAACTTTTAATTTCATTCATTTAGATCATTCCCCCTTGAGTCTTTAAATAAAAGAAGAAGAAAATCAAAATCAAAGATCAAATGCTGGAATATTGAAGGGAGAGGTAGAAGGATGAGAGGTTTGGTACAACACTCGAGAAGCTATGTTCCTATAAGGATCTTTTTCTCTTCTTTGTTTCAAGAAATCAATGCATCCCTCCACCTCTGATTTTATGTGAGAATACAACTCATCACATTTCTTCTTGTCCTTTAACTCCTCCATCCCTGTGCATACAGTTCTAGTTAATGCATTAAACATCTGATTAATTAATTGCTTGGCTCTCCTTTTTTACACCATACATGTGTATGTGTATACATATACATGAATTATTTGATACGCACGCTATGTAAAAATTAGATTCTACTGTTTTATCTATTTTAGGTCTAAACCCTAAACCTTAAACATCAACTTTTAAATTCTAAACCATACGTCTTGAATATGACACGACATTCAAATAAACAAAGTTATGAAATCAAAATTTTACGCAGTCTATGCACGAACCAAGCTACTTTAGTGGTTGGGGATCTAGTGAGGTCATAAGTTCAAGCATTAGTCTCTGTAGACAGAGGTGTTTAAACATTCATTGTCAAATGATTTAGAATTTTTAGAACATATACTATCGTGTAATCATCTCAGTTTAATAAAAAAATATTTTACGCATCCTATATCAAATGGTTCCATATATATTATATTACCAAATTTCAACGCCATAAAGCTATATATAATGTATATGGATCTTGGTTTGTACAAATTTACCTCGAGTTAAAATCGGCTTCCCAAAATAATAATAAAACCGGCCTGGAAATTTTGGTAGCATCACTGGTAAATGCATTTGTTGGTTTGCAACCTCACCACTTGCGTCGGTCCTGATTAAGGAGTTGAAATGTTCCAACCATGAAGACAGCAGAGGAAAATTATATGTACGAGATCGATGGAACATAAAATTTAAATTCAGTTTAATTTTGAATTCGTACCGCAGTTTTGCAGACCGACTTGTAAGTTTTTCTATTTCTTCCCTCCTCCATGGAATTTTCATTTGGTCATCGTAATCCAAAATAATCTGGAATGTTAGGGAAACACCCTCATTTATTGAATTGCATGTTTAGAATCGTGAGATAAAATATGACTGTAAAACATGGGAGTGATATAAAATTTTAGTGGACGAAAACAAATTATCAATAGAAAATATAAGTGAAATACTTAAATTATATGAAAATTAAAAATTTAACGACAACTACCCCAACCATCCCATCAGTCATCCCTAGGGTTATATATGTAGACTTCATGAAGGAAAACAAAATTTGAAAAACATAACAAAAACATGTGTTATACATGGACGGATGCATGATTTTATGCTAAGGGCGAAAACAAATTATCAGTAGAAAATATAAAAGAAATACCTAAATTATATAAGAATTTAAAATTTTCAGGAGAACGACTGCCTGCAGACACCTCCTCGATCCATACCAATGCTATATATGTAGACTTCATCTAGGAAAAAATTAGTTTTGTGATTCTTAGCCTTAATTACCTCAGCGAAATCATCCTCTCCAACAACACCAAAAGGAACAATCTTGGCTCCAAATCTGGCTGCCATCCTCACAAACTCAGATTTCTCTGGCCAAAATAACTTGTATTCTTCGCCCTGCAGGTCCATCTCTACACTTGAGTATTACATATACATATACACAATGTGATGCATGATCTCATATTCACCAAGGGTCAACTCATGGATTATATATATATATATATTATGTTACCTTCCTATGAAGGGCCTCACGTACGCCACCAGGGTACAACAGGGCATGAGATTTTGAAGACATAAGTTTGTAAAAGTTTGCAGCTGAGACAGGCACTGCCCCCATTACTCTAAGTACGTCATAATGTGATAGCTCCACGTCCGGGGGCTTTCCGTCTTTCACTCTTACAAACATCACTGGATGTGCTATCCCGCGAACAAGAATGTTTCTCTCCATCATAAATTGAGCTACTAATGGAACAACTTCAAGTCCCATTAACATGTGATAACCGACAAGTAAGACTGGCCCCTCTGATGGAATTCCCGCCAGTCCCCTCACCACCTTCCCTTCCTCTAATGTTGAGAGCATCACAGGGCCGGTAGCTGTAAGAAGCAAGCTACGAAAAAATACCAATTTAATCAATTACTCATAATTAATATCAATTCATAGTTTCCGATTAATAATTAAGATTGATGATGCAAAAGGCATGTTAATCCGGAGACAGCCCCTTCGGCCTTTTTTTGGTGAGGAAATATCCTCGACAGTTCTATATTCTTCAATTCCCACTCAGACATTGGCAGATACTTAGTTTTGTGGGAATGCTGATCAGCAAATTCCTGTCAGTAAATTTAGTAGTAGATTAATTAATGTTTACCTAATCGATTCATGCAGTTTTTTGAATTCACTAGGTGTTGGTGGTATGTAATCTGAGACGCAGTTGAAGTGCTTTCCACGGCGGTAGAAAGAAACTCCCTTGATGATTGTGGCCAAATCAATATTGTCTTCCTGAACAATCGAGCAAATCTAATAATTTGTATCACAAAGTTACTTGCAGATTAGAATTAATCTAAGCCGGTGCCTAGCAGCCTACGCAAAGAGAGAAGCATACCAGGAAGAGAAAATGACCACTTTCTTCAAACTTACGAATCTCACAATCAGGTAGTGTTTTTTGAAGTCTTTGACTTTCTTCTAGACTAGGCAACAGCTGATCTCTTCCGCTATATATAAAGAAAAAAAAAACAGTGAATCCAATCTATCATTATGATATAAATTACAAATTTAAATGTGCAAATTCAATGCAATATACCATATCCACAGAATATGCAAAGTATATCTATGAGTTCATACATACATATATATATATATATGTGTGTGTGTGTGTGAGCCACAGAGTTTAAGGACCTGCAAAGTATCAGCATTTGAGCTTTAATTGCATGAAGGCATGAGTTCGTATTTGCAGAACCAGATTTCAACAAATTTAGCTTCCATCGAAGCGTTTCTCTGGGTAAAATATCAGCCAGAATCTGTCAACAAAAGATTATTTCTCTTTCTGAGTTTTGTCGCTAAACATGTAGTTCTCTTGTCTATTATCTAGCTCAATTATGTACATTGCTCCGGAGAAGGAATGGATGTACAATTGAACATAAGCGTGGAACTTACAGGGAGGTATGATGACATATTAGAAAGATCTTGTGATAACTCTCCCACGATTTGGGGCAGAGAACCTCTTTTTACAACGTTATCCATCAGGATCCTCAAAGGATTACCTAAACAAGTAAACATATACAGTGCCATTATTAGTAAATCATATCTTCTCACTCAGTTCTAAATGGAAAAGAGCACTATACATGAATCAAAGAGAGTAGAGGAACATGTTGGCAAAATAACCTGTTGGTAAGCTCAGCATGTAAGTGAGATTAAGTGGGAACTGATCAGGCGTAATCTCCAGCAAAGGTATTAGTGGTTGCAACTGTGACTTACTAAAAGATGTGGCTGCAGGTTAGAGAAAAAACAGGAAAAAGAGAGAGACCAATAAGATTATCCATGGATCAAGCAGAGCAACTAACTAGATTTCTTCAAGGCATTTTCTCAAACAGAATAGGTATTGCATATATGTAAGACTGACTGTGGACCTGGGTTAGAAGAAACAAGCACAAGATCTATGTCAGGATTCCGAGCTGCAACGGAGAAGGCAAGGCATGCTCCAAGAGACTCCGCAACAATATATATTGGCCTGTTTGGGGACCTGTAGTTCTCTGACCTAATCGTTCTTTCCACAAGCTTCACTAGCTCTAAATCGGAAAATAAAAATTATATGGAATAATTAATTAGCAAACTATCATATATAGTCATTAATTAAGCCACTGGTACTGAAAAACGGAGAAAAAACAAGTACCATTAAATGGCGTTCTATCCTGCACAGGAATATGCAAGCACCAAATGTTGAACATCCTTCATTCAAAGATCATTTAAAATGGATACTTGTTAGACAATTTTGTTAACTAATTAAAAGACAAGTGAAAATTTAACCTCAGTTTTGACTTACTTCCCAAGCTTATGATGATGCATTATAAGTCCAAGTCCGGTGCCATCAATTCCTGAAAACTGAAAACTCGTTAGCTTATGCTATAATTTGAATTATGAAAAACACTAAGTAAATTGCATTTGTTTATATATAAAGAGAAAACGAGTCTATATCTGATCAGAAAGGTGAAGAAAAACGAACCGGGCAAAAACAGAAGCAAAGGACAGTCTGGAGAGGTCGAAGAAGAGCACTCCAAATGTGAGAACCAACGAGGCGGACCGCCGTCCGATCTGATGATCTCTTTAGACTCTTCAAAATAATCTTTTAACCACTTTTTACCCTCCTCAAACTCCGGCAACTCCTCCGGATTTGCATAAATATTAGGTTTCACCTCAGTTTCCTCCGCCATCGTTTTCAGATTCATCTTCTTACCAAGCTTTTCATTCTCTCCAAAACCGCTTACTCTTCCTATCCGTTCCGTAGAAACAGCTAAAATCCGCCCGCGTTTCGTTATTCCTCCGAACAAGGTGGTGGTGCTCCGCTGAGAAAATGGCGATACGCCACCGGCGAGGAGTATAGAAGCTCCGATGGCCGCCATGAAACTGAACCGAACACTCTCTTGTTTTGATCGAGTTCTTTATTTGTTATTTATAATGGTATGATCCAGCTTTTTGGATAGACATGGATTTGAAAGGGGAAAAAAACGTTTTGTCCTCTTCTGTAATACGAGTCATGAAGTACAGAGGCGCTAAAAGCCTTAATTTGAAATTAAAACATTGGTTAAAGAGTACTTTCAATCATTAAATATTAATTTATTTTTTAAAATATTTAATATTTTACTTTGATTTATCTCTTAAAATTTTCTAAAAATAAACTTTAAATTATTCAAAATTTTCAATTCTATTATAAAAAAGTGACAGAATATGTTTTAAATTGATTTTTAAATAAGCTCACAATTTTTTTGAAAAAAAAAACTCACAATTCTTTGAAAACTGAAAATATATTTTTATAAAAAATATTATTGATATTTTCTGTGTAACACCCCAATTTAGGGGCTAAAATTAAGAAATTATAAAGTGGTGAATTTAATTGGTATTTTTGAAAGAAACAGTGGGTTAAATTATAAGGTTTTAAAGTTGACACACCGTTTTATAAAGTGTAGTAAATTTAGTGGTTACACTCATGGTTTACCCATTTTTATTATGAGTTGAATTATAAATCCCCTGCGCACGGGTTCTCATTTTTCCAGTTTTCCCTTCTCCAACAACCCTCCTTTCAACTTTGATCTACTCGCCGTCCGACCTCCGATTGACGAGCTTAAACTATCATCGTGTTCGTTGTCAACTAAAGAACAAAACTCCTCAAACCTTTCGTCATGAATCGTCACTATTCGTCATTAATTTCAGTCGGAAGTATCGTCGGTAATAACTCAATTTTAGTTGGTTTTTCATCGATTTACGCACCATCGTGTTCCTTGTTCCGTTCCGAGTCTGCCGGTGTCATCCTTGGTCTCCGTCGACGGCGGCGCGTGAGGAGATGAAGCGATCAAAGTTTTCGATTCGTTGAAATCGAACTCTCCGCCGTTCAAAATTGTGAACCGAGCTTTGTAAGTATCTCGAAATCGCTTAAAATAATTTTTATGAATTTTTCCAGGAATTTTCCGACATCAGGGTACTGTTCATGCGCCCCCACGCGCCACCACTGCGCGTGGGGAAGAAAAAAATGACCGATTTTGCTCCTATTTTGATCGGTTTGACCGGTCATAACCCGACCTGATCTGTTGACCGGTGTTGACCACTGTTGACCAAAACTTTTTGACCGTGCATTAAAAGACCTTTGACTTTGACCGAGTATACCTATCCTGATATTTTTCAACATTCCGAATCCGATTCCGCAGTCTGTTTTTCGAAATTCGAACCCGAAGACCTCGAAATTGGCTGTCAAACCCGTTGACTTTGATTTTGACCAAAAATTCCAAATTTCTAAAAGTCATATTTTATGTTTTCGACGTCCTGAATCCGAATCCGAAGTCCGTTTCGTCAAATTCGAACCCGGTAAGCTGTTTTTCACTGATTTATCACCCGATTCGATTCATTTATCGTAATTAAGCTCCGTTTCTGATATAATTTTTTTTGATATGGATCCGATGATATATTGGAAGATGATTTCAATATCGAGGGCGTACGAATGGAATTTTATGGTCGATCAGTATTGCACAGAAATCGAGGTAATACTTTACTACCTCTTTATGCTTTATAGAACATGTTGGTATTGGTAAATGCATAAATGAAAATGTTTGCTCTCATATGTGTAATTAATGAATATCTACACTAGATACGAATACAGTAAAAAGTAGGTAACTAAATATGGCTGAGATGACTATTATAAGAAATTGGAGGACAGTTGGAATTAAATTACAAGTTCTTGAATTAAGTGATAAAAGAATCAGCCATGGATATGTAGATTATAATTTATCTCATTAAAGGTACTTAGATGATAAATTATGAGAATATTTCGATTAGATAAAATTATGAAATTACCCTTATGTTGGAAAATAACAAGAATTATCCCTGTAAGTGGATTAATAAATCTAAAAAGAATTATTGATCTGCTAAAACTATTGATGTGCATAAGAAATGTTAGTTTTACTTGGAAATTATGGATAACCGGTTTTTAACCCCAAGACGGTTTATGCTAGATACTAGAAGTCTTTTAAAGAATCATTTCAAGATTAAAGAATGTTCGAGGAATCAGTTAATCTTATGATCTCTATATTATATTATTTTCGTTAAGAGCTAATATCGAAATTATCTGGTTAAGAAATTATGAAAATACCATTGAGATGTAAAATAGTTCGAGTTAACCCTGAATGAGAAAATACTTTAAGGATTCATACTTAACTCAATTTAAGTACGTATTTGATTGTTAAGATCTTGAATTAGTGCAGAAAAATTCTTGATATTCCGTTTGTAAAATCTGAGAAGGTACTTGACCCGAAAATATCTGAATTATGAGTAAATACCTGAAGAACAGTTTATCGGGGGTGTTCTTTTGTTAGAATTGTCTGAATGGACTGAAATAAATGATAAGTTTAAATTCAAAAATAAAACCGGATGGAAGAAAAAGATTGAAATACCGTAGATCTATAAAATTACCAAAATACCCCTATAATAGAAATGACCCAAGAATATCACCAAGCTCATGAATGATTGGATATCCTCGAACTCTGAAATGAATGGAATAAAACCTAACACTAAAATTATCAAAATACCCTTGTGACCTAGACTAAGTAGATGTTAGATTAATTAAGGAATCCAAATAAGCATATGTGTTAGACTACCTTTAGAAGTTATAGAATAACTTAAGTAAGCCGATCAACCGTAATGATATGTCAATACCTGAACGACATATGTATTAGTTGAAGGTGTATTCGTCTTCTCAAGTGTGGTTCGATGATAATTTTGGAAGTACTCTGTAACATCCGCAATACCGGGTTAGTGACCAAATTGTAAAGTTTCAGAATTTGGTGACTAAAGTATAAGAATGAAATAGTTCAATGATTATTGGATATATATGATGAAGGTTATTTAGTAATTAGTAAAGGAAATAAAGGGCAAAAGGGTCAATTGACCAAGAGATGAATAAAAAAATGGGATTGGTAAGGATAAAGGCACGTGGAAAGGGAGAGAGTTCTCCAGAGTTCTCTTCTCCTTTCTTCTTCTTCTTCACGTGGAAGCCAAGAGCCAAAGGTAAGTTTCTTTGTTTATAATTGAATTGTTGATTTTAAGGTTAGGTTTTAATTATTAGATGATAACTAAGCTTAAGGAAAGCTTAAATCATCTTAAAAGCAAAGGATGGTGGAGTTATGAGAGATTAAAGATTTAGAGTTTATAAATGAAATCTTGGAATAAAGTTCATTTCTTAGATTGGAAGTTAAATTTGACTTGTCAATGGTTAAATTAAGAGATTTGGAGTGATAGAATTGGATTTATATCATATAGAAAATTTGGTATGATTCTTGAATCTCATAAAGAAGATAGGATTTTGAGGTTAAAGATGATTTACATGGATATAAGTTGGTTCAAGTTATAGTAGTTGAGTTTAATGTCATAAGAGGGGCTTAAAATAGAAGAATTAAGGGAAGAGTTAATGATTTACGTGCTAAAATGTCAGTTCTGGGCAATGTGCATCGATGCACATTCATTGTGCACCGATGCATCGATGATAAATACCAGAAATTGTTTAAGGTGCATCGATGCACATGCAGTGCATCGATGCATAAATTTAAATAAAAAACATCGAATGGGATTTATGCATCGATGCATAAGGAGTGCATCGATGCATCTCCATTAAATACAAACATCGAATATGATATATGCATCGATGCATGGTGTAGTGCATCGATGCATACCTTCATTAAAAGATGAAATTGGCTTTTCTTTGAGACTAAGGAGTGATAGTTTCGAATATATCAATCAGTATACTGATAAGTATTAATGTATTATTATGTAGATATAGAATGAAAGCTTGTTCCGGAACAAACTAAGGATTAGGATTGATTCAAACAACGAGGCCCAGGTGAGTGCATACTAGTGATATGTAGTGTTTAATGGAAATAAGACTTGCGATGAGTCTATTTCCTAGAGTAATATGCATGAAGTCATGGACATGATTATGTGTGGTTATAATTATATGTGATTATTTGTATTACATTGATTGTATGTATGCATGACTAAAGATAATGATATGCTTTGTATATGCTATATGATGTATGTAAGACTTTAATATGTAATAATGGAAGAACATGAGATAAGTTATATGATAGAGTCATAAGAAATGAAATGAATATGAGAGAATAAGATAATAAAGTATAAGTTATATGATATGGTATAAGTAATTATACGAGAAATATTAGGAGACTCTAAGAGAATAGTATGAATTCGAGGGCATAAATAAGGATACATAAGTAATATAGGGAAGATTGATAAATTAAAAGAAACTATGGTTTATGTATTATAGTGAAGAGCTACAAAGTTTTATTAAAGAGTATTGTGGAAGTCATGAGAAATTGAACTAAATAAATAGATGGTTGATGTGAATAAAAAGGGAAAATGATATAAAATAAGTTATGAAATTATAGGAATATAGAAGATAAGTCGAGAGATGTAGGGAAATAGAAATATATGTTTATTAAGGGTCATAGGAGAACAAGTATATGTAATATGATAATGAAATATAAGACTATGTGGATACATGGTTATGAGATAAAATATGTAATAATAGGAAAATATGATGAAAGTGAGTTTATAAGAATTGATATGAACTAGGTAAACATGGGTAACAGTATATGCATAATGGAAACATGAGTTGGACAAGTACTTAGTGGTATGATTTATTATGAGAATTAGTATAATGGAGCTATATGAAAAGATTATAATGAATATATGAAATTGAATTAAGTAAAGAGATTAAATTAGTACCTAAATAAAAATACTATTAAATTATATATGTTTAGAAATACAACATAATTTATAATCTATGGGAATACAAAGAAATAGAGCATAAGGTAGATAATATGATATCCGTTATTATATATCTATATGATATATGTCATCAGGTAATATGAAAGAACTCTGAAAATTGATATAAGCTAGGAAGAAGTGTTCTATGTGTTATATGTAGCATATATGATCTTATGTGAACAAGATATGATAAGTATGTTTACATGAATAAATGTGATTGGGTGAGAAATGATAGAAATTATATGAAAACATGATATATGTGACATGAGAATGATATGAAAATGATCTACGTGTAAGTGAACTATGTGACTATGTGATAATATGAAACGAAGCTATGTGATACGTGATATGGGAAGTGAATTACAAGTTTATGTGAAATGATAAGTATAAAAGAAAATTCCCATGTTATGTGTCTTGAGAGCTAGGGGTATAGTTGGCATGCCAAGAGTAGAGGGTCTACGCGGTCATTCGGGACAATATTCTATGCGGTCCTTCGGGACAATATTCTACGCGGTCCTTCGGGATATATATATATTCTTTGGAACATGTGTGAAGTCTGGTGAGACACATATATGATCCCTAGCATATGTATATGATTCTTAAGGAATTCTATGTGGTCCTTATGGACATCATTATATGGCACTACGGTGCAATTCTACGCGGCACTTCGGTGCATTTATACGAGCTGTGGTGACAGCATAGTGCACAACCTCACAATACTCAGATACCTTAGGTTCTCAATATGATATCATGGGCCAAGAAACTCATTAATACAAATTCATGAATGTTAAAGTAATATGCTTACAGGTATGGATATTGGTGATATGAGAACAATGTATGTGATATATGTATATGATTTGTGATATGATGTTGTGTGTGTATAGTGTTTGATTGAAAAGGTTAACCATAAAAGTATGTGACTACATGATAAACTGTTAATGATGAATTATGTGTATGTATGTATTTACTGTAATTAATCTGATATGAGTTTATAGGATACAAAGAATGCATGGTATTGGTATAACATGATAGAACAGAATATGCATGTATTGATATATGTTATAAAGTGCATTATAAGTTGTTATGCCTCACTAAGTCTTCGACTTAGCGTGTGATTGTTTCACACGTAGGTTTTGAGAAGAGTAAAGAGTAATGCGGAGCAAGACAGGTCAGTTCTCCTTACCAAATGTCGGATCAGAAAATATATGTACTGTTTATAGAGTGTAGTTGGCATGTAGTCTAAAGATATAAATTGTATGAACTCTGATATATTTTGTAAACGTTTTTAATAAGTTAAATATTATCAAAGTTTTTAAATTACTCACTATTTTATACGAATAAATGTTTGAAAAGTCAATGTGACACTTCTGACTCGTATCCGGGTCGGATACGGGTTGGGGGTGTTACATTTAATGGTATCAGAGCTATGGTTTAGTCGATTCTCGGCATAAACCGAAGTTTAAAGTGTCATAAAATGTGTACATGTCAACATAAGGTGAAACATTTCTGATCTGATAGTGTAAGGAGTGTGTTGTCTTGCTAATAGAATTAGATTGCTACGTTCTAATATAAGTATGATTATAGTAATTTCGAAGTGAAATAAGATGTGATATTCCTGATTGTGATAGCAATTCACCTGCCCTGACCAGGCAGGGAGAAGAGCGGACACCTCAGGAAATGCCTAGTAAGATCAAAAGTTGATTTCAGAAAGCTGAAATCATATCTGAATAATGATAGAAAGTTTTCATCATTTGGAATCGGAAACACGATATATAGTAGTTTTGTTATTATATGGATAAGATAGAATATGGTGAACAGGTGTCACCATAAGAATGTTAAAAAGATCTAAGGACGTGATGAGTACGTATAGAAGAACTCAAGGATAAGTGCATCAGTGACAAGTGTATAAGATGTATAAAGTCAGAGCTTATGAGTTTGAAACGAAGTGATAGTATTGCGCATAAACAAGAGTATGTTTATAATAAGGGTTTGCAGTTAAGATGGAAAGAGTTAGCATTGGCTAACTAGAGTATGTGATAAAAATGTACTGGAATTATAAGATTATAAGATATTGTCAGGATATGATAACCAGATCTGCAATGGATCTGGATATAGTTGCATATTTGGATTATAGTAATGTGGTATAGTAAAGGAAAAGGAAGTAAGAATTTGTATATTTAAGTAAAGCCGAGGATGGATAAGAAGAGTTTGAGAATGTGTATATCGATGATCAGATTATAGGACACAGGAAGTCAGAATGTTGAGTTTGAGCAAAAGAAATTTCAGGATGTATGAGAATAGATGTGAAATTGATAAGTTGAGTAAGCGAATGTTGAGATAATTGAGATTGGAAAGGATGTATATGATTGGTATAATAGGGCTTGTGTCCTAGATTGAACAAAAGTTATTATCTAGCGGTCAGAGTAAAGGTACTAAAGTTATAAGATTAGAGGAAAGATAAAGTGGAGTTAATTGATTAGGATGTGAATTTGAATATAGTTGTATATTCTGAGCAGATAACTATGATATAGAAACAGAGATAAGTATTTGCATGTAACCTTCAGGAAGGAAAATACAAGTATAAGAAATGATAAAGAATGAAGTTATGTATAAGAAATGGGTTATCAGAGTAATGAGAATGCAATGAAGATTGGTACATAAAGATGAGTATAAGTGATAAGACAAAAGTATGTGAATATGAAAGGAAATATATGATTTATGTATAAGGATAAGGAATAAAAAAATGAAAGGGATTGATTTAAAGGATCATATACGATAAATATGGAAGTACAGATGACAATTTTTATATAGAAATAAGACAAGTGTGCAAGGTGATGTGAAAAAGATTCTTTAAAGTGTAGGTTGAATCGTATTTAAGAAGATTTAAGGTCATATTCTTGGTTAAATGATGATGGAAAATGAATTTGGTTATTATAAAGTATTTAGAGATGAATTTATGATGTTAAGTGATGAAAATTGATGTTACCGTCTATGTGATTAGTGACATTATATGAAATTCAGAAATGGTCAAAGGAAAATACATAAAGGAAGGAGAGAGAAGACATAAATGGATTGAAGTTATTGGTTGATGTTTAAATGATAAGTGACCTGATATATATATATATAAAGGAAAAAGGTAATTGAAAAGTTAAAGGATTGAAAAGTAAGTTTCTGATGATGACAAGAAAGATTAATTAAATGAAGCAACATGAGAACTTTAGAACATATGTTTCTATCAAAATGTCCAGTGAAAATTCGAGGACGAATTTTCTTAAAAGGAGGGGAGATTTGTAACATCCGCAATACCGGGTTAGTGACCAAATTGTAAAGTTTCAGAATTTGGTGACTAAAGTATAAGAATGAAATAGTTCAATGATTATTGGATATATATGATGAAGGTTATTTAGTAATTAGTAAAGGAAATAAAGGGCAAAAGGGTTAATTGACCAAGAAATGAATAAAAAAATGGGATTGGTAAGGATAAAGGCACGTGGAAAGGGAGAGAGTTCTCCAGAGTTCTCTTCTCCTTTCTTCTTCTTCTTCACGTGGAAGCCAAGAGCCAAAGGTAAGTTTCTTTGTTTATAATTGAATTGTTGATTTTAAGGTTAGGTTTTAATTATTAGATGATAACTAAGCTTAAGGAAAGCTTAAATCATCTTAAAAGAAAAGGATGGTGGAGTTAGGAGAGATTAAAGATTTAGAGTTTACAAATGAAATCTTGGAATAAAGTTCATTTCTTAGATTGGAAGTTAAATTTGACTTGTCAATGGTTAAATTAAGAGATTTGGAGTGATAGAATTGGATTTATATCATATAGAAAATTTGGTATGATTCTTGAATCTCATAAAGAAGATAGGATTTTGAGGTTAAAGATGATTTACATGGATATAAGTTGGTTCAAGTTATAGTAGTTGAGTTTAATTTCATAAGAGGGGCTTAAAATAGAAGAATTAAGGGAAGAGTTAATGATTTACGTGCTAAAATGTCAGTTCTGGGCAATGTGCATCGATGCACATTCATTGTGCACCGATGCATCGATGATAAATACCAGAAATTGTTTAAGGTGCATCGATGCACATGCAGTGCATCGATGCATGAATTTAAATAGAAAACATCGAATGGGATTTATGCATCGATGCATAAGGAGTGCATCGATGCATCTCCATTAAATACAAACATCGAATAGGATATATGCATCGATGCATGGTGTAGTGCATCGATGCATACCTTCATTAAAAGATGAAATTGGCTTTTCTTTGAGACTAAGGAGTGATAGTTTCGAATATATCAATAAGTATACTGATAAGTATTAATGTATTATTATGTAGATATAGAATGAAAGCTTGTTCCGGAACAAACTAAGGATTAGGATTGATTCAAACAACGAGGCCCAGGTGAGTGCATACTAGTGATATGTAGTGTTTAATGGAAATAAGACTTGCGATGAGTCTATTTCCTAGAGTAATATGCATGAAGTCATGGACATGATTATGTGTGGTTATAATTATATGTGATTATCTGTATTACATTGATTGTATGTATGTATGACTAAAGATAATGATATGCTTTGTATATGCTATATGATGTATGTAAGACTTTAATATGTAATAATGGAAGAACATGAGATAAGTTATATGATAGAGTCATAAGAAATGAAATGAATATGAGAGAATAAGATAATAAAGTATAAGTTATATGATATGGTATAAGTAATTATACAAGAAATATTAGGAGACTCTAAGAGAATAGTATGAATTCGAGGGCATAAATAAGGATACATAAGTAATATAGGGAAGATTGATAAATTAAAAGAAACTATGGTTTATGTATTATAGTGAAGAGCTACAAAGTTTTATTAAAGAGTATTGTGGAAGTCATGAGAAATTGAACTAAATAAATAGATGGTTGATGTGAATAAAAAGGGAAAATGATATAAAATAAGTTATGAAATTATAGGAATATAGAAGATAAGTCGAGAGATATAGGGAAATAGAAATATATGTTTATTAAGGGTCATAGGAGAACAAGTATATGTAATATGATAATGAAATATAAGACTATGTGGATACATGGTTATGAGATAAAATATGTAATAATAGGAAAATATGATGAAAGTGAGTTTATAAGAATTGATATGAAC